TAATAAAAAGACCCATAATTTTTTTCGGTGATTGACACTAATAATAATAATAATAATAATAAAAAGACCCATAATTTTTTTCGGTGATTGACACTTGACTGAATTACGAGTTCACTTTCACGTAGAAGCATCCGCCCGTGGAAAACACGGCCACGTACATTACATTTACACAGGTTTATCGAGTTTCAGATTGGCTTCTATGATCTACCAACAGAACAAGTCTTTCTCTGCTTCGAGGAAGGATCGAAAGTCATAATTTTTTGTATTGTTTTTTCTCCAGGTGGACTATCTCTTGACTGGGAAACAGCCGAAAAATAAGACCTGATAGGTTCTTCAACTATACTGGTTCACACTCTTTTCTAAAAGTAGCTTAAAACAAACTGATAAAATAAAGAAAATTTGAGATACTACATACAAAGACCTACGTGTACAACCCATCTGCATAACCATTAACCAATCAGGAGTAAACACGCTAGCGATTTGTAGAGTATGGATCGCTCTTGATTGGTGGTTTCGTAGTACACGTCGTTTTTTTTTTCCTGAATTCCATACCTTATTTTCGTGACTTCCATTGCTAGTTATCGTCTTCGCCGTAAGACATCTTCTCCCACTCTGTTTTGACTAATCCAGACGATCTGTCTTTCCTTGCCAATAAATCCATCTTATTACTTTTCATGCCTTCTTATTCTTCCTGCAGAGTATATTCATCATAATCGTTGCCGATAGGTTGTCTTTGTACAGGAAGATGTTCTGGAGATGTTCTTGTCTCATCACCTCTGATGATGAAGAACCAAGAATCAGGTTATAATTAATCTTAGCTTCAATTCGAAACTTACCAACATTTGATTTATTCTTAATTCAGTTGCCCAAGAGCTTGTGTATTTATGGGTTTTTGTGATACATCGATCGGCCTGGATTTTAGCAGGGAAGACAAGACCAAGGATTACCCATGGAAGATCTACTCTCTCAAGGAACTTCTTCACGCGACAAACTATTTCCATGATGACAATAAACTCGGCGAGGGCGGGTATGGAAGTGTTTATTTGGGACAAACCAGTACAGGCGTTGAGGCAATTAATCCTGCTCATCTCTCTTTTACTATTTCTGTTGTTGACTCCATCGATCATAGGATTATACTATCCTTTAATTTCTCTGAGATTTTCTTGATTCATTCCATAAAGAACCCAGTATTTCAATCTCTGTAGATAGCAGTAAAACGACTAAAAGGCATGACCTCCAAGGCTGAAATGGAATTTGCTCTAGAAGTGGATATGCTTGGTCGGGTGAGACACAAGAATCTGTTGGGTCTAAGGGGATTCTATGCAGGTAAGAATGAAAGGCTCATAGTTTATGATTACATCCCTAATCATAGCTTGGTCACCCATCTACGTGGCCAACTCGCAGCAGATAGTTCATTAGATTGGCCAAGAAGAATGGACATCGCCATTGGATCTGCAGAAGGATTGGTGTAAGTATCAACTTCATGCATATTTAATTAATTAATTTTGTGCTTGATTGATATTTCTTTCTCATCAACACAATATCAAACACTTAGTTTTCTTTCTGTATTGCTGTTATACAAGGTATTTACACCATGAGGCCAATCCTCATATCATACACAGAGACATTAAAGCGAGCAATGTCCTTCTGGATTCAAAGTTTCAAGCAAAAGTGGCTGATTTCGGTTTCGCCAAGCTGATACCAGAAGGAGTTACCCACTTGACAACAAGGGTGAAGGGGACTCTGGGATATCTGGCCCCTGAGTACGCAATGTCTGGGAAAGTATCTAAAAGCTGCGACGTTTACAGTTATGGTGTCCTGTTACTTGAGATTATCAGTGCAAAGAAGCCTATTGAAAAGCTCCCTGGAGGAGTCAGACGTCATATCCTTCAATGGGCTATTCCGTTAGTTGAAGAAGGAAATTTTCATTCTATTGCCGATCCAAGGCTGAAGGGAAAGTATGATGATAAGCAACTCAGGACTGCAGTGATGCTCGTTATGGTCTGCACAGACAGAAATCCGGAGAAGAGGCCGAGCATGATTGAGGTAGTGGAGTGTCTCAAGGGTGGAGGAGGAAGGAGATGATGATGCTGGTGAAAAATACGGAGGAAGAAGAGGATCACGAGGATGGTAGCTATATAGTGAATGATCTTCTGCAACCCCATCTGTAGTAAAAACATGGGAAGGATGGAGGATAAGATGACGGGGTAATTGAGTGGCAGATATGTTCTCAATGTTGAATGTTTCTTTTGAAAATTAATTCAACTATTTCTTATGTGTTTTTGTAGCTTCCCTCCTTTATGTGACAAATCAGAAGGAGATGGATCCATGTCTGTGTGCGTGTGTATGTGAGAGAGAGAGAAAGGAGGAGATGGACTCTAAGGGGTGAAGATTTTGTTTTGTTTTGTTTTTCTTTTTTTTTTTTGGGATAAACTGAGCACCGAAAATGATTTGTTGTTTTCTATTCTTTATAGTTACCATGTCATTTTTGTCTGGAGTTCATATTGAACACACATATAGCTGTGTATTTTAGAGAATGATGATCGATAAATTGCATTACTTGAATATGGAAAATGCATGAATATTTATTGAAAAAGAATTCCTGTTTCACATGCCCCCTCAAACACACAATGGATCAAAATCTTCATATTTTTGACCAAAAACTTTATAATGTGATGGTGTGTCAAATCTTGTCGTAATTATGATGTGGCAAACCAATGATGGTATGGCCATGATGATGGCATAATATTGAGAACCTGTTGGCTGCTGCTGCTGCTTCAAGAGAGAACCTCTATGGGTTGGTGAAGAAGACTATCAATGGGCCAGTTAAAGTTTGAGAAGGGAATATGTTTCAAAAGAATGAGTCGAATTTCATTGATTATAATTGATTGCACAAAGGTGTTTATATACAAAACAGTAAATGAATAAAACAGGAAAATAATTACAAGAGTAGAAATATTCAATTAAGAAAATTGGTCTAGCAAGGAAGTTTTCCTAAGTAGAGAGTTTCCTTTTTATTCTGATAGGTCTCTTAATAGTAATTGCTCTATCTTTGGTAGGAACTCTTTCTATAGCAGCTGGCCTTTCTTTGGTAGTAACTCTTCCTAGAGTAACAATGCTCTCTTTGATAGAAAGACTAGAACCCTCTTTGGTAGGAGGACCAGGGCTGGTCAACTCCTTAATACACACCCTCAAGCGAAAATGGGCTGGAAGCACATGAAGCTTGGACCGAAGCCACTCGAACCGGTGAGAAGAAAGCAGCTTAGTGAAAATATCAACAACTTGATCTTGAGTGGGAAGAAATCGGACCACCAAAGGCTTCTTGAGAATAGGGTCTCACAGGAAATGGAAATCAACCTCTATGTGTTTAGTACGAGCATGAAATATGGGATGAGTTGCAAGATATGTGGCTCCAATATTATCACAATACTGGGGGCGACTAGGATTTAACACCCAGATCAGAGAGAAGAGACTAAAGCCACATGAGTTATGTAGTGGCATTAGCTAAAGCTCAAAATTCAGCCTCTGTACTTGACTGAGCAATAGTAGGTTGCTTCTTAGCATTCCACAAAACTAAGTGAGAACCAAGAAAAATGCCATAACCTCCAATAGGGCGTCTGTCATCCGGACAACCTACCCAGTCAGCACCAGAGTAAGCGGCCAAAGTTTCCGATGTGTGAGACAAGAAAAACAACCCGGAATCAATAGTGCCTTTGAGATACCATAGGATTCTTTTAACAGCTCCCCAATGTTCCTTAGTAGGGCCATGCAAGAATTGACATACTTTATTTACAGCAAAGGCCACATCCGGTTGTGTGAGAGTGACATATTAGAGTGTGCCTACAATACTCCGTTAGTGAGTAGGATCAGGCAATAGTTCCCTATGAAACTGTGAGAGACGTGATGAGGCAGCCATGGGACTAGAAACTAGCTTGGGCGTAGAAAGATTGGTCTTTCAATAGGAGATCCAAAATATACTTGTGCTAAGAAAGAAATAACCCTGTGGCGTCCCGATGAATTTTAACACCATGAAAATAATGCAACGATTCCAAGTCTTTTAGGGCAAATGTCTAAGATAAATCACTAATAAGACTAAAGACATGAGTAGAAGATGAGCCGGTAACAATAATATCATCAACATAAGCCAGAATATAAATAGCGATTTGATTCCGAGTATAAATGAACAAAGAGGGATCACACTATGAACCACGAAAACCAAGATCATATAGTCGATTACTCAGACGAGAAAACCAAGCTTGAGGGGCTTGTTTAAGTCCTTAGAGGGTCTTGTGAAGTTTGCAAACATGATCTGAATAATTGTTATCCTCAAAACCTTTTTATTAGTGCATAAATATTATTCAATAATGAACCCATTAAGAAAAGCTTTGTGGACACCCAATTTTCGAATGTCCCAACCACGAGGGATGCCAAGAGAAAGCACAGTGTGCATAGTAGCAAGCTTGACCACAGGACTGAAAGTATTAGTGAAGTCAATCCTAGGAACCAGAGTTAAGCCTTGAGCAACAAGACGAGCTTTGTAACGATCAATCGAACCATCAGGGTGACATTTGATTTTAAAAACCCTCTTGGAGTCAACTACATTCATTTTAGAATCATAAGGAATCAACTCCTAAGTACCATTCTGAATTATGGCATCAAATTCGACAACCATGGCAAAACGCCAATGAGGAGACTTGGAAGCTTGAGCATAGGAAGAAGGCTCATCTTCATGAGAAACAATATTGTAAAGTAAGCTTGAGTTGACCGAGACATCATATATCTCATTGCCATAGAATGAGTGCACATAGGAAGTTGTACAACTGGAGTTGTATCTAATACCTCCTGGAGTGGTCTTGTGCACCGAACTAGTAAGGGATCATCACTTAGAGAAGCTTCCTGTTTTGGCTCAGGTGAAGAAGTAGCAGACTCCTCATCAGTAATAGCAATAGAGGGCAAGGGAGAGGAAGATACCTCAGGAATGGTAGGAGCTAGACAAGTAGTAGAGTCAATGGCGCCTAGAGATGGGAGTATCACTCTAGTGGAACTAGTAGAGCTAGAAGGTGGCGATAATTGTATAGAGTAAAGGAAGGAGTGCTCATCAAAGACAACATGCCGGGCAATGAGGGCGTTACCTGTAGCAGGGTTGTAACACTGATACCCTTTATGACAATTGTTGTACCCAATAAATATGCAAGGAGCAAAATGGAAGTCCATCTTGTGCTTATTGCAAGGTCAAAGAAGAGGATAGCATTTACAACCAAAAACCTTTAACATAGAATAATATGGAGGTTTCCCAAATAACTTTTCATAAAGAGAGATATTACCAATGCCTGGAGTTGGCAGTCAATTGATAAGAAAAACTACAAGTTCAACTACATCTGCCCAGAATGACTGAGGGAGAGAGGAGGACGCCAGTAGAGATAATATGGACTCAATAACATGCCGATGTTTGTACTCAACACTACCATTTTGTTCATGTGTATGAGGACAACTAAGACGGTGAGTGATGCCTGCATCATCAAGATAACGAAAAAAACTACAAAATTTGCCACACCAATCACTCTGGGATCTCTTGATTTTTGTAGAAAATAAAGTCTCAACATGGTTCTTAAATTTAAGAGAGGTATTAAAAACATCTGACTTCCTTTCAAGAGGATAAATCCTTGAAAATTTTGAGTAGGCATCCATAAATAAAACATAAAATCCATATCCTTTATTAGACAAAGTTGGGGTAGGTCCCCATACATCAGAAAAAACTAACAAAACTAACTCAAGTGGAGAAGAAAACTTTGTATGAGAAGAGGATAAACTTAAATGATGGGCTTTACCCATTTGACATGCTTCACACACAAAAAAAAAAAACTGAAAAAGAGATCCTAAATACGGTAAACCAAATTTGAAAATAATATTTTTCACATTTTTTAGAGAGGCAAGACTAAGCCACCGATTCCATTCTTCTAAGGAAGTTCTCTCACCTACAAGAACTACTGAGTTGTCTGTCTTGTGATGAATCGTTCCCGAAAACTGATAGAGTCCATCTCTACTGGGTCCTTAGAGTAAAACTCTTCCCGTATGGTCCTTTAAGACAAAGAAATCCGGGTGAAACTCAAAAATTAAACTATTATCCTTAGTAAATTTACTTACTGAAAGTAAATTTTTAGTAAGAGCAGAAACATGAAAGATATTCTTCAAGGCAAATTGATTATGGTTGCAAACAAGAGAAGTCGACCCTGTATTGTTTATAACCAAACCTATTCCATTACCAATTTTGACTTGATCAGGACCGTGATATTCTGTTCTAACTTTCTAGACATAATCACTGATTGGCAAAGTTCCTTTCTTGAGGTTCTGAAGTTGGTGCCTGAGATGTAGTACCCTAGATCGAGATTTGTGAAGAGAATAATTTTTCCAGGGCATTCTAGACTTCGGCAATTGTAGAAAGTCCAACAACTTGTGTCAGGACTCCCTCAGTTAGAGATGCTACAAGCCAATTTAAGACAAGATGATCTAATTGTACCCAAGTAGAAAAATTTGGATTTAGAATTCTCTTACTGTTATCATTAGCGTCCTGAATCTCTTTTGGAGGAGGCTTGGTCGATCCATCAACTAGTCCTAACAGCTTGTGAGTTCAAAGTACTGGTAGCAGTTGAGCTTTCCAAAGAAGAAAATTTCCTCCATTGAGCTTGATTCTCAGATAATGAGAGATATTGGAAATCAAACTGATGATCATTGGTACTGAAGAAATTTGGGAAGGAGTCGAGCTTAAGCTCATTGCTTCAAATGTGTTGGTAGTGTTGTAAGCCATGGCTCTAATACCAAGTTAAAGTTTGAGAAGGGAATATGTTTCAAAAGAATGGGTCGAATTTCATTGATTATAATTGATTATACAAAGGTGTTTATATACAAAACAATTATGAATAAAACCGGAAAATAATAAGAGTAGAAACATTTAGTTAGGAAAATTGGTCTAGCAAGAAAGTTTTCCTAAGTAGAGAGTTTCCTTTTTACTCTGATTGGTCTCTTTATAGTAACTGCTCCATCTTTAGTAAGAGCTCTTTCTATAGCAACTGGCCTCTCTTTAGTAGTAATTCTTCC